CATCAAAATTGGTGAATTTTTCTGTGGCCATTTAAATATTGAAAATGGAAGGAAATAAGCAACATTTTCAGTACATTATACTTTATTATTTCAAGAAATGTGAAAAACGCAAGTGGAACACAAAAAAATGATGTGTGCAGTGTACAGAGAAGGTGCTGTGACTGATGGAACGTGTCAGAAGTGGTTTGGGAAGTTTCATGCTGGAGATTTCTCCCTGGACGATGCTCCATGGTCAGGTGGACCAGTTGAAGTTGGCAGCGATCAAACTGAGACATGAATTGAGAACAAGCAACATTATACCACATGGGAGATAGCCGACATACTCAAAATATCCAAACCAATCAAGTTATTAGTGAAAATGAAAAACGAATCCTTTATGGAGAAAAACAAAGAGACCCTTTAGCCAACCTTACGTCACAGTGGATTTACGTCACTCTACCTTTGCACAAACGCACAGAATGCACACTTGGGCGTGAACCCTGATGTACATGATGGGCTTGGTGTGACTGTGATGTGCCACTGTGCCTTCATCCTGGGTGGAAGACGCCCCAGGCTGGCCCGCGGCGTGATCACAGTGGACGGTGCGTGTGTGGGGGCAGGGTGTGCACGGGAAATCTCTGTACCTTCCTCTCAATTTTGTCATAAACCTGAAGCCACCCTAAAATCTTTCTACAAATGAAAACAAATACATGGGTGAAGGATCTGAACAGACACTTCTCCAAAGAAGATACCCAGGTGGCCAAGAAGCGCATACAAAGAGGCCCAGCATGAACAGACATGAGGAAAATGCCGTCAAACTGCAAAGACACATCCATCACTTCACAACCCGGGAGGGCCAGCCAGCGTGTGGAGAGACGGAGAGGAAAACCTCGTGTGCTGAGGACAGCACCTTAGAGAAGACAGCCTGGCGGCCCCTCAGAGGGTGAAGCATCGTTATTACCTGGCCCCCAATGTTACCTGCAGACACGTACTCGGGGGAAACGAAAGCCCATGTCCTCTCAACATGAAGACGTGTGTGTCAATGGCCACAGCAGCAGCATCCGTAACAGCCCCAAATGGAAACACCCCACACGTCCACCCACCGATGAGGGGACCCAGAAAACACGGTGTGTCTGCGGAGTGGAATATTATTCACCCGTAAAAAGTATGGACACTGATGTGAATGTTGGGACGAGGACAGGCGGAAGACAGCAAAAAAGGAGGGCGGGAGGGCTCTGGCTGGTTCATTCAGCCCCAGCTGACTGCACACCACGCACAGCAGGAGGTTTAACCCCGGCTGCCCCTCGGGTCTGCTGACAGCCACGTCCTGAAGTGGCAGCTGTGGCTGACTGGACGATCTTGGGGGGATGAGGTGCCCCTCGGCACCTGTGTTTCTGGAGCTTCCCAGGCGTTTCTGAGGACTGAGAAGCACTCACCCAGAGGATGGACCCCCACGCCGTGGCCAGGGATACTCACTCTCCACCACGTGGACCCGAACTCTCTCGTCCACCCCCACCTCTCACATCCCTGTCTTCTAGGCCCAGCCCTGTGGCACTGCAGGTACTCTCCCAGCACCGGCACCTCCCTGTGGATGGAAAGCTCTGCTCACTCACTTGTGATGACCCAGATTAGATGCACCCTCCTCTGAGAAGGCCTTCCTGATTTCTCCAAGGGACAGCTGGTCTCTTGTGTGCTTTCGTGACAATGTGTAGACAGAACCTAGATGGCACGTGCAGTTCCCAAAGTGTGTTCCCCGGAACACTCGAGACTAGGGGTGGGGGCTGTGGAGGATGCTACCAATACATAGCCCCCCCCCCCAAGGTTCACAATGTGCAGTAGCCCATTAAAAGCACTGAGAAGACCTGCAATGAAAACCGAACACATAAAACGAAACTCTGCTGAAGCTCACGTCACCCATGGTCCCCTATGCTTACTTGATCACAGACCCATTTCCCCCAGCCCAGCACTGAGGGGTCCCTCACCCCCAGAGGTGCTATGACTGCTTGTCTCAATGCATCCTCTCGGGGACCCCTCTCTGAGCTCCCGGAGAACAGGGGTCATGACTACTTGGCTTTCCACCTCTGCTGGTTGGCAATTCCTAGCACCAGCCCCCATTTCTTGACCAAACCGCTGGAGACTGACTATGTGTCCTCTTGTGAATTTTCTCTGAAGAGCTCAACCCCATGGACCTCTGGCACTCACTTTTTCGGAATGTTCGCTCAGAAGGGGGTCTCGGAGCTTCTGCTCGGCTCTCGCAAAGGCCACGTCCACAGCCCTGTAGATGCAGGAGCAGACTCTCGCCTGCCCCACACAGCGGCCAGGAAGGGCTCGCCCTCCCTACTGGCCGCTGAGCCCCAGTTTCACCGTGCGAGAGCAGCGCTCCGTCCAGGTGACCAGCCAGAGGGAGCGTGAAAGGCCTCCGAGGCCACACGTCTCTCACTTGAGCAGACAGCACCTGTGTTTCTAGAGGTTCCCAGGCATTTCAGACACTGATCATCGTGTCTGAACTCCTGCCGATGGCCGTCCTAGATCTTTCATCTCCGCTTCCTGTGAAAGGGCTCAGCTGACTGGGACGACCACCCACTCACAAGCTCGCCCAGCCCGGCCCAGGGTGCAGGTGGGTTCCACATGTCAGCGCACCTCCCTGCACGTCCAGCTCATCTCAGGCGAGGAGAGGACGCGGCAGGGGTTTCCGGCAGCCGGGTGGCCGTCGTGACCGGGCTGTGCCTGGCTGATCCGAGTCAGTCCATCCGACGCTGAGAGTGAAAACTGTGGGTGTCCTCCTGCTGCCTCTGTTTTTCTGGTTGCTCTTTCCACGCAACAGATGTGTTGCTGCTTCAAACTCGCTCACGTTCCAACCCGAGGCTACTGCTTTCGAAATGTGTTTTCCCTCAAATCAGCGATACGAAGCCAAGGTCACGGAGGACTGTGACGCATCTCCGCACATGCTCCAGGTACCGGGACCGCCGCCTTCGCATCCCCCTGCATCCCGGTTTCTCCAGGAGGAGAACCGCTCTCTACACCCCTCCCCCCAGGGCACAGAACCCAGGGCTTCCCCTCCTGTCCTCACTCACTCTCATTCGCTGATTCAGTCAGCATTTACTGAGCACCTACTACGTGCCAGCACTGTGCTGCTGGCTGGGGGGTGGATAAAGATTCTCTCTGTGATCAAACTCCAGCCAGGATCCACTGAGCCCTGTTCTCAGTGAGGCCTCAATCCTGGTCTGTAAGGACGTGAGCAAACATTGGTACCAGTTCCAGCAGCTCGAGGCATGTCCCTGGGATGACCTGAGCCCCCTTAAAGTGCCTGCCTGGGAAAGTTCAAGGCTGCCAGGGAATTTCCTGTGCATTCTAGCTAACACCTGAGGGGTGTGCCCTGTCTCCCAGCCTCTGCGATAAAGGCCCGTTAGCAAAGACAGATGGTTTCACAGGGACCCACCCCCTTCCACGTTCCGGTAACTTTCCTGTCCCCTGGCTCTGCCCAGCCCCCTGGTCCCCTCTCCTTTTAAAACATTCCAGCCCCCTCTGCACAACACAGGGTGGGCCTGAGCGCTTTCCCGCCTGTCAGCAGTCACCCATAAAATCTCTTTCACTGCCTTGACGGAAGTTTTCCCTTGACAGGATGGAGTTTTCCTTTGTCTGCCTGGTGGGGCTCACATTTCAGGTGATGTGCTTGGTGGGTGGGTGTCGGGGGGGTCCCTCTGAGAATGGGGAACCTGAAGGAAGAATCAGCCAGGCTTCCAAAGAGCTGGGAGAGAAGCCCTCCAGCCAGAAGGGACGCAGGAAAGGGAGGACGTGTCACAAGGGTGGAGTGAGCAGAGGCAGCTGAGCCGGCTGTGAGTGTGTGAGCGTGCAGAATGAGTGTGCTGAGTGTGCTGTGAGTGTTCAGAGTGTGCTGTGAGTGTGTGAGTGTCCTGTGTGAGTGTGCTATGAGTGTGCTGTGAGGGTATGAGTGTGTGAGTGTGCTGTGAGTGTGAATGTGCTGAGTGTGCTGTAAGTGCATGAGTGAGTGTGCTGAGTATGCAGAGTTTGCTGTGAGTGTGTGTGTGCTGTGAGTGTGTGAGTGCAGTATGTGAGTACACTGAGTGTGCTGAGTGTACTGTGAGTGTGTGAGTGTGCTGTGAGTGTGTGAGTGTGCTGTGTGTGTGCTGTGAGTGTGTGAGTGCAGTATGTGAGTGCACTGAGTGTGCTGAGTGTACTGTGAGTGTGTGAGTGTGCTGTGAGTGTGTGTGCAGAGTGTGCTGTGTGTGCAGTGTGCTGTGAGTGTGCAGAGTTTGCTATATGTGAGTGTGCTGTGAGTGTGCTGTGAGTGTGTGAGTGTGCTGCGAGTGTGCGAGTGTGCTGAGTGTGCTGTGAGTGTGCGAGTGTGCTGTGAGTGTGCTGTGAGTGTGTGAGTGTGCTGTGAGTGTGAGTGTGCAGAGGGCGAGGGCCCGGGACCACGGCCGGGAGGGCCTGGCCGGAGAGCGTGGGGAGCAGAGGACGCGGCAGAAAGGAGAAGGCTCTGACCGCGGGTCCTGCAGTCCCTCCTTCCCACGTGTTCCCTGCTCCCAAGGTGTGGTGGGCTTGCCCCGTGCTTCCTAGAGCTGCGTGCAGCTTTAAGACGTGAAATGCTGAGGCTCAGACAGGGTGCCAGGATGATCCGGGGAGGAAAGACCAGGAGGGGAGAGCAGGGCTGGCAGGGGGCACCCCACTGGTCCGACGCTCAGAGGAGCGGGGGCCAAGTGAGCCCTGCGCTGGGGGCTGGCCGAGCATCTGCAGGTGGGGCGCCGGTAGGAGCATCGGCTCTGCTTGTCTGCCACGTTTTAGCGACATGCTGGTCGGTCAAAGTTTGCTGAGTCTTTTTTTATCTTTACCTGAGGACATTTTTTTTCATTGCTTTTAGAGAGAGAGGAAGGAGGAGAGACAACACTGTGAGAGAGAAGCATTGATTGGTTGCCTCCTGTATGTGCCCGGACCTAGGATTGAATCCGAAACCTTTCAGTTACAGGACGACAGTCCAACCAGCTGAGCCACACGGTCCCCGGCGAGGTCTGCTTAGTCTGGCCAGCCAAACCCAGCCACACCGACCAGCTGTGGCCGACTCAGCATGGGGGCCGGCGCCTGTCGGAGCCACACAGCGGACACCTGCAGGTGAGCACATCAGCCAGCTGTCGTCCTGCAGCTCAGGCCTTGGGGTCCCTCTTTGTGTCTCTCTCTGTCAGGGGGAGCCTTCTGCAAGACACTGCCCTCCGATGAAGCATGCACGCAGCCCCCAGCCTTTCCAGTAAGCTCGTAACACAGGAGGCTTGATGGAAAGTCCCCTTTTCCCGGACAGTGAAAGTGAAAACCAGCAGGACACTCAAAACCCAGGGAAGGGGTTGAAAAGTCAGCACTGGAGTTACAAGGGGAAATTGTGTCTTAATCCAGAAACAGCGGGGTGAGCACAGAGTAAAGCCAACGCTCTAAGAGCAGGGTCGGAAGGTCAACAAGCACCAGAGCAACAGGTATCTCTAGAATCCGCACCTTCGCTGCACACGCTAGGGCACCTCGAACATCCCCTTCCAGGCCACTGCTGTGCCCCTGGGCACTCTTCTACAAAGCAGGGTGGGCTTGCACGGTGGCCCCGGGGGAGGGGTGCTCAGCCTCCGGGGTGGAGGCCAACCCAGTGCGCTCCCCTGTGGCCGCCCCGTCAGCTTCAGGCAAAGTCCTAATGCTCCAGGGACAGCAGAAGCTGCTGGGTGTCTGACACACGGATCCTTCAGAGGGGCCTTGTTCAAAGCCACCAGATGTAAGGCATTTGCGAGTCTCCCAAACACCCACTTTTCTTCAGGCTGCCTCTTTCTACTCTTCGGAGTGAATGGTTACTCAAAATGCCTGGGAACGTGCTTGCTCTTCGCCACGGCTGGCGATTCCCCAAGCCCGGATGCCTGTGGGTCTTCCTTCCCCACCAGGCCATGGTCTGACCTCCTGACCGTTGTCTGAAGTCCCACCGCCTTCCTGAAGCAGCTGACAGAACGCTTGCCTGACCCCTTTCGCCTGACCGCTCCTCCTCCTCCCTCTGCACTTGTCAGGTCACCACGCGAGTCTCAGGCTTTCCCGACCCGTTGTTTTTGGATGCACCACGGCTTCCTGGCTGGGCTCCCTCCCGCCGCAGGGCCGTTCTCCCGGTCTCTTCTGGAGAGAACGCGTCTCAGGCTCTGTGTGCAAACCAGACGCCCAGGGGTCTTGTTCAAGTGCAGATTCTGACTCAGCAGGTGTGTCTGCATTTCTAACACCCTTCCAGGCGATGTCACAGCCACGGGTCTGAGGACCCCACTTTGAGCAGTAAGAAACCACCACACTTCAGTCAAGGCCCATGGAGCTGTATCCTCAGTCCCCTCGAGGGACAAAGAAGCGCAGACCCCAGAAGCCGTGGGCAAGCCTGGGGTCCTCCCAGAGCCAGGGAGGGCCTCAGGGTCCCCTGGTCCCATCTGCTGTAGCCCGGTGGCCGCACTGACACTGGTCACAAGCCACGGGCGCTGTGTGTGTGCTGATGGAAAAGAGACGGAATGCTGGGTCTCCCAGACGGGACCGCGGGCACGCCCTGCCCGCCAGGGGTTCGTTTCTCGGCTGCGTTCCCCATCGGTGCTGGAGTGGAAAGCCACCGCTCTGAGAGCCTGGGTCGGCTCACTCACGCTCCACTGCAGACACCGCCGTGGGGCTGTGCAGACGTTACAGAAAGCTGGAAAAGTAGCTTCAATACTCAAAACACCGACCTTCCACAGAGGAAGAGCATTTTAGCAGAAGACTGAGTATCAATGTACATTTTGCTGGGAGCTGCATATTTCCTTAGGAAGATCCCGTGTTCCGTGGAAGGCAGAAAAACCCCAGTGAACGGAATGACAGGGACAAGAGAGGACCATTACGGTTCAAGAATGACCCAGGTGCTGCTGACAAACGACACAGCAGCATGTGCATTTATTTAGCTGTTTAAACGGCATTCCAGGGTGGTAGCGCACCAACCAGCAGAAAGCAATGCTAGAGTTTCACAACGTCTAACACATGGGCTTTCAGAAGTCAGCCAATCCAGGTTCGAACTGAATGTCTTTTTCTACGGCAGCCGATATTTTTTTCCATAGCTGATGGCTCTTACAGCAACGAAAGCAGGTAAATAAACAAAAAGAATAAAGTGTTCCCAGCACATAGTAGGTATTCAACAAAGGAATGCTGTCCAGCAATGATGGAGGGGCGGGTGGGGGACGTGGGGGCAGGGTGCCCTCACAGCTCTGTCAGGGGTTCGGCTTTGCACTTAAATCAGGAGCTTTATACACACGAGACGAGAGTGTTCACATGGCCACAATCACTGTTACTCCATGAGCCCCATTAGGTACTGCCGGCCTCTCCTGACTCAAGACAGACCCCCGGTGCAGGCACTGCTGACAGAAAGACGGGGACCTCGCTGGCCAGCTGGTCGGGCCCACTTGGCGGTGTGGTTTCATGAGCCGTGCTGACATGCCTCATCTGAACGCATGCCCGCCAGAGACACAGCCTGTGCCACGTCCGGGGGCCCCAGATTTCCACAGTGACCACACGAGGAGAATCCGTTTGTAAAAATTCAAATATGTCCCTCCGAAACATTTGCCTATGTGAAAAACTGTGCATTTTCTTCAGAGAATTGTTCGCCTTAAAACCTAGACAGCGGCAGGGAAAAGGCGGTAGGTGTGACTATATACAAGTAAAAGCGGTTGCATTGTTTAAAGAAATGCAGAAGCGCAGAGGTGACGTCTTTCCTCCTGCCGATCCCGTCCTTCTTCAGGGCAGGACTTGGGAAACCCTGAAGGTCAAGGCCACCATCCCTCTGCCCCTACTTCACTAAGCTCAGCCATGTGCCCAAGGAAACACAGGACATGGTGGCCCCAGACCATGCAGGCACCTGCAGGAGGTCTGGTGCGAAGAATCAGCCCCCTTCTTCAAAGGTGCCGAAGCGACCCTCTGCGGTCCCATGAGGCACACGTGACCGTGCTGGTTCTGGTAAAACCAACAGATGCACCGAACTGGAGCCCAGGCTGTCACCACGCGCCCGCCCACTCGCCCTCACTCTCTGGAGGGTGGCCAGGCATTAGGGAAAAGTCTAGCACAGGAACCCAGTCCGAGCAATTCTAGGATCAAGCTCCGGGTGCTGCTGCTGAACTGGAGAAACCTCCTTCTGCCGCGAGTCTAAGTTCCGCCCCACAGAGCTCAGGGAGGGGAGGGCGGGGAAGGAGCTTTCTCCTTCCGCTGCTCATTGTGACAAAGCGTCCTAATACCACTGCTGCCGCCAGCCTCAGGTGACACGGCTTCATTCCCCACCGAGCCCCCCACTCACTCCCTTTACCCTCTGCTTTATCAGACCCTGAACTGTGAAACCCCGAGAGAGCTAATGCCACGGCTGTGGGCTCATGTAAAAGCCGTGTTTTCACCTGGATGTACTGCACCTCAGTACCGGTGAGAAAGCCAGGCATTAGCGAAGGATTTCTGAACATTTGCATTAAGCCTGCTGTCCCAAGAATTAACTTTAATTTTGAAAACAAAGCCTTTTTTTCTGCCTTAGGTTTAAGCTCCCATCTGTTAGTTTCATTGAGATGGGAATCTGAAATGTGGGCCTTGCCCTGGCCGGTGTGACTCAGCTGGTTGGGGCGTCATCCCATATGCCGAAAGGTTGCAGGTTCGATCCCCGGTCGGGGCACATACAAAAGATGGCCAACAGATATTTCTCCCTCACCTTAATGTCTCGCTCTCTCTCTTTCTAAAAGAGCAGTGAAAAAAAAAAAAGTCCTCGGTGAAGGTAAAAAAATAAAAAAGAATGAGGACCTTCGGCTTAATTGGAATATTCCCTGAAATTCTTCTGCACACTGAAACCGTAGCCTAGCTCCGCCCTGCCCAGGTGCGAGGGTCGCAGGGGTGGTGGAGCCGAGGGAGTGCCGGCCCGGAGCCGGGAGATGCAGCAGGACCGCGTCACCCTGAGCCACCACACGCCGCTGTGCACGTCCCAGCAAGGAGGTGGCAGTCCAGACTCTATGACATTACAGGAAATCTCTGCACTTTCTGCTCCATTTTGCTGTGAACCCCAAACTACTGTAAAAAAATAAAAAGTCTATTAAAAACAGAAGGAGATGGAAGAAGCTGGCTGGCCTGTCGTGTAGCACTGCAGTGAAGGTGGGCGAGAAAAACTGTGTAAGTGCTGGTGGAAAACACCAGACAAGTGTGCACCGTATGGTTATTTTCTTTTTAAGATTTTATTTATTTATTTTTAGAGAGGGAAGGGAGGGAGAAAGAGAGAGAGAGAAATATCAATGTGCGGTTGCTGGGGGTCATGCAACCCAGGCATGTGCCCTGACTGGGAATCGAACCTGCGACACTTGGGTTCGCAGCCTGCACGCAATCCATTGAACTACACCAGCCAGGTGTTATTTTTAAGTCACACTAAGAGGTCCTAGCCCAGCTGACTATAAGCGTTGGAGGTGGAAGCTCGGGGCAGGGGTGGGTGCACGGTGCTGTCTCTACCACCCAAGCCTCGTTCTCTGTGCCATAAGCAGGGTGTCCCAAGCCCACAGTGGGACTGTAAACCCTATGACGACAGCCTTTCCGAGGACGGTCCTTGGGGACTGTGCCCTTGCTGCTGAAATGCTCCCACTGGGCTGACATGCTGGGAATTCCCCTTTTGCAGCACACGTCTACACTCCAGTCTTCATATTCCCGGGGCACGGGTTTGGTCTCTGGAACGGGTGAAAAACCCGACGACTCAAGGATGCCTCCGACGAGCGGAACCAGAGGGCCGCCGAGAGTGGACTCTCTCGTCCGGTGGTGAGAAGGTAGAGAGAGAACGTCACTTGTGCTACCGGTGCACACAGACAAGCCACCAAGCCGTGACCTGTGCATGGACTGTCCCCGCTCACTGGGATGAGGACCCGGCCCCGTCATCCTGGAACTGTGAAGACCGAAACTGAAACTCGGGTTCCAGACCCCAGGGTAGTCCTCCAAAGACAGCCTTCCCCTTGACCCCGTCGGGGGTGGGGAGAGGGCGGCTGGCAGTCTGCAGGACAGCGCCCCTCAGACGGAGTTCGAGAACACAGCGAGACCCCGGAGCGACTCCGTTTTCGGGGGGTTCCTGGTCTCCCTCTGCAGAGGCTCTGACTCAGCCTGTTCAGGGTGAGGCCCAGGAACCTGCATTTCAACTGCGGCCTGGGTTGAGGTGCCTGGTTCTGACACAGATGGTTCACGACACAGAAGGCTGTCCCCTTGGCTGGCTGTCCACTCGCACAGGTGGGTCCTGTCCTGTGGGCTAGCTCGGTGCGCAGGGGCCTTTAGGAGTGATGGTCTGAAGGACTGTCCCCACGCCCCGGTGGGGAGGCCGTTCTCTCACAGACACTGGAAACGGGTGCCTGAGGGGCCAGCGTGTTCTTCCCACTGAGGGCCCAGGGGCGCTGTGGGGTCCTCGCAGCTTCTCGAGTGGATCCCGGGTTTCCTGAGGCCACTCTTCACAACATCCCACTCGAGGCTTCAAAGAATTTCTCTTTGTCTTTGCTTGGAGATCAGTGTTTCTGTAGAGGACGAAAGAATCCAGACACTGGATGAAGAGACGCACCGGCTTCCTCTTCTGCAAGAGTAACTGCTTTGAACACTTGGAATCTCTGGCAGTCGGCACCCCCTGTGAGATTCTCCCGTGGTGAGGGCGGCAACACTGGCCCCGGAGCAGAAGCGAGCAGAGCCTCCGGCCCCCTGGCCTGGCAGACGGAACTTTTGTGGGACTCCAGCACATGGTGCAGGAGGATGGCGTGGTGCCCCAGAAAGGGGCTTCGCTCTGCCTCCTGGTCCCCCAACCTCTCTGGCAGGAGGGGCTTGGGAGGCTGGGGAGCCTCTGAAGGGAGGGGTGGGCTCGACAGGGGGAGGGCCTGGCGGGGTGCGGAGGGAGACACGAGAGGGGGCAAGGGGCCAAGTGCAAGAGTCCAGCCCGAGGCACTAACCGTGGACACACAGAGGGTCTGCTCCCTGGGACCTGGCCCTTCTCGCTGGCCTGGCTGTCCTGCTGGGGACCCGCAGGCTGTGCTGGCGTCTCTGGCTTTGAGACCTGTTGCCCACGGAGCCATCCAGTCCTGGGTCTGCGCTCTGCACGCAGCTGAGCTCTGTGGACCGCAGACCGACGGCGGCCTTTCGAACCTGCTGACCCACATGGCCTTGCAGTCCGCTGGTGTGGGGCCGAGGCCTGGGCAGAGCTGCGTGGGGTGCAGGGAGGGTACAGCCGACCGCCCTTCCGCGCTGCAGTCTCCTTCTCTTTCCCAGAGGATGAAAAACAAATGTTCTTCTCATGCTCGTTGTGCATAAGAGATAATTAAGACGAATCTCAAGAATGAAAAATAACAGTTACTTGTCCTACTTTGTCTGGACATGGTGAGACAAAAAACAGTTAATAAAGATTAAAAAAAAATCAAAATGAAGAGGATTTTCCCAGGGTAGACACGGCAGCGCCTCCTTGCTGAGAGTTTAATAAAATCACACACTGAGGCCAGCGCCGACTAAATGGAAAAGCGTGTTGGACGGGTAACTATGGCGACAGCCCCAGTCCAGACAGAGAGGCTGCAGCCTGTCTCCAAGGGGAGAAAATCCTGAAATTCACACAGATCTCTGAAGAGCGGAGGGCGGGAAAGAGCGCAGTCCTCCCTCCAGTCTGCTGGTGTCTCCGCCCACGGGACTCCGCCCACCGCCCTCCGTGTGCACCAGGACTGACCCCCCAATGCCCTCCGCCCCCGCAGGGCGAGGGTCTCGGCCTCTGCTCCTCATTCCCTGCCCCACATTTCCTGATGGCATTCTCGGTGCCAACACCCTTTTCGGCGAAAGCTTTCCCGCGCTTGGTGAAGAGCGCTGCTCTCGGTGGACGAGCGTTGGGGCTGCTTCCTGGGTCAAGTCCACGGGCATCTCGCTGATGACACACCACCCAGACGGTTTCCAGGCTGCCCATCCCCACAGGGGCCGGCAGTCTCCTGTCCTGCGCACTCGGGGTCCCTGCAGGACCTCGGGCTGGGCTGTGGGTTTCTGCAGATGCAGGGGTGTCCGCACACTGAGTGGCTCGGGCTGGGATGGATGTGTTCAGGCCCCGGAGGCCGTCCTGAACCTCAGCAGCTAGCTGGGGACTACAGCCACCTCCCGTGGCGACGTGGGGGCGGATCCATCCACTGGATTCTGGAATGCCCAAACAACGTTTGGCTCACGTCAGGCGCTCGATAAATAGCGGCTACTTTAATCACTATGCACGCGAAGTGGGCAGATCCACAGGTCTCCCACCCACTGGCGTGAGGTCAGGGGTGATCGCAGAAGAAGGCAGGGTGGAGGGACAGGCAGTGCCACAGCCTCAGGCCCCATGGGTCCTGTCAGGCCTCGCTGGCTGGTCCGTGGTGTGTGCTCAGGTGAGCAGGTGCCCCAGGTGCCTCCCTTCACGGATCCCACATTCTCATCACAGACACGCAGTGCAGTGGTGACGCAGGTGCCACACGGAGGCTGCCAGCACAGGGAGGAGGAGGTGTTCTGTGGCAGGATGCCCACGGAATCCCAGGATGTCCACAGAGGGTGGCTCAGACTGTGCCTGCACTGGGGCCCCCGGAGAGGGAGGAGAGGGAGGAGAGGGAGCGACGTCCGCCCAGGACCTGCTTGCCATTCCGGCCCTGGTCCAGGTCAGGTCTGCAGGGGACTCCCTGTTGTCGTCACCGAGGGCGCCCTTTTCTTTGTCTGGAGGTTCCTGATGCCTGCAGCAGCGGCAAACCTTGCCGTCCTTCAGCACACCACGGGCACCTTCCCTGGGGACCGGGGAGAGAACCGCTCACACTCCATGGGCACCTTCCCTGGGGACCGGGGAGAGAACTGCTCACACTACTCACACCTTCTCCAGGTCTGGCAGATCTCACCTTCTCACTCTTACGTCTGACAGGTTCCTCAGGGAGAAGGGAACTTGCCTGGGCGCATGCTTAGGCAGTGACGGAATGCAGCATCCCCTGCCTCGCCCCCAGCAGTCCTGATGGCCTCGTATTGACTGTCGCTCCTGAAGGCAGGGGCTGTGATCAGAATGCACCACAATCAAGCCAAAGGTATTTTCAATCCCACATTTACCCAATGGATCCCAAGTTTTTGCATTCTGATCCTTATTACGGCGGCTTTTGCTGTGGCACTGTTCCATTCTCCTCAGCGCTGACCTTGAGCTGAGTCAGTGCCTTTGTTCTGCCACCCCTGACTGTGTGCACCTCTGGCTGTGTGTATCCCTGGCTGTGTGCACCCCTGACAGCATGTACCCCTGGCTGCGTCCACCCCTGGCTGCGTGTGCCCTTGGCAGTGTGCACCCCTGGCTGTGTGCACCCCTGGCTGTGTGCACCCCTGGCTGTGTGTACTCCTGGTTGTGTACCCCTGGTTGTGTGCACCCCTGGTTATGTTCACCCTTGACAGCATGCACCCCTGGCTGTGTGCACCCCTGGCTGTATGTACTCCTGGTTGTATACCCCTGGTTTTGTGTACCCCACACAGCCTGGTTGCGGTTAGGAAACGTGGGTTCATAGTGCAAGGAAAGATGGGAGCAGTGTCTAAGCGCCAAGACCCCACCCCAGGCTGCCGGCCCGGATTCTGGCTCGCCTCCCTACTGCTGTGTGACTTGGGGTAAGCCACTGAACCCCTCTGTGCCTCTAGTTCCTTACTTGTAATCCTGGGACGATGACAGCAGTATCTACCTCACAGCACTTCTGCAAGGACTAAAGAGCTGAGACGCACAAAGCACCAAGAACAATGCCAGGCACGTAACAATGTCATCCAGTGTTTCACATGTTCGCGATTCTCCTTTATGAACTTCCAAGCAGGAGCTGAAAGCGTAGTTCCTGTTCCAGCCCCTCCCTGCTGTAGATGGACTGCCAGACGCGGAGCCCCACGCCTCGGTGAGCAGGTTACCGTGACCCTCATTTAGAGGGACGCAGGCACCTAATGGCGTGGAGATGGTTGCTGGGGAACCTGAAGGCGGTCTCCAACCTAGTAAACAGCCTCTCACCAAGGACGGTTTCCTGGCTTCGACTTTGTACCACGGTTAAGTAAGATGTCACCACTGGCAAAAGCTAGAGAAGGGGCTGGTGGGACCGCCTCCTACACTTTTTTGCAATATTCTGTGAGTCTAAATTTCAAAATAAGTAGTTTTTAGATGATCGGTGTGTTCCTGGGGGTGTGGCACTGACCACGTTGCAAGGCATCCTGAGGTCTCAACTGGGGAACCAGCTGGAAGGGCAGGCGGCCCCCAAGGAAGGGCAGACGGGAGTCTGGACACCAGGAGGAAGGTGGGGGCTCATGGCCAGCGAGGAGGCTGGGGTCAGCAGAGGTGAGGACATGGAAATCCGTGCAGGCAGCTGTCAGATGCCAACCTGTGCCCCAGGGAGATGCTGTGCCTGGGAAGGTCAGTCATTGGCTCCGGACGCTGGGTCAGCTGGGGTCTGAGGAGAGCTGGGTCCACAGGTGCAAGGTGACAGCAGCCTATCGGGACGTGGGATTTCTGAGCCTGATGTGAGCGCAAGCACGGCGATGCCGCAGGTGCGGCTGACCCAGGTGTCTGCAGGACAGTGCGGGGCACCTGCACAGGACACAGGAGGACCCGCCCGTCCCAAACACAGGAGCCAGGCGGATGCTGACTGGTCACTGGTCGCTTCAGTGTCTCCACGCTCACCCAGAGCCAGGCAGGGAGCGTGACCCACCGGGGGCCTGCTCTTGGAGCGTCCGCCCCTTGGACAGCGGGGCCCATGACCTGCGCGTAAATAACGAAGGTCAGACTGCTGACTGCCCGGTGAGAGCACAATAGGTGGAATGGCACGGCACCTGGGCACTTTGGACTGGGGGTCAGGGAAGGCTTCACTGAGGAGGTGGCCTTCAGCTGAGACCCGAGTGACAGAAAGACACAGCTCTGGGGTGCTGTCCTGGAGGGTGGGCCTCCAGGCAGAGGGCACAGTGGGTGCCTGGGTCCGGGGATGGGCTCATCGAGGACAGGAGTGAAGGCCACTGGGCCAGACCACAGGGGGCATGTCGAGGGAGGGGAGAGGAGGGGTCAGCCGGGGTGGTGGCAGGGGTAGAGGTGGATGGAAGCTTCCAGAGAAGCGTTTCCCAACCAGGCTGCCTCCACCTCAGCACCGCCGGCCACTAGGGTCCACACTCCTGGCTGTGGGGGCTGGTCTGTGCCCCGCGGCGCGTCCCGCAGCCTCCTGACTTCTACAGTCAGAGGCCAGGACCCCCGGCCCCAGTTGTGACAACTAAAATGTCCCCTGTGTTCCCGAGGAGGTGGCTGAGTAGGAGGTCGGGACTCCGGTCTAGAACTTTCTCACGGGAGTGTGACGAGCCTGGGAACGAATACGTAATCGCCTTGCACAAAGCTTGCATTCGGCAGACACTTGCTGGGCGAAAAAGCCCTGCCTTTCTGGTGACTCACAGGTTGGCCCTGACTCCTGTGGGGCTGGAGGAAGACGGGGGCAGCGGCAGGCCAGAGAGCACAGACCCTCACCCCGGGCCGGGCCTCCGGGGGTGGGGGCAGCCTGGGGACTGGCGAGGCTGCTGGAGGAGGGGCAGAGGCGCTGGAGGCCCAGAGCCCCGGGAGGGGCTATGACCAGTGCATGGGTCAGAGCACGGGTTCCCACGCAGGACTTGGACCTGTGGCCTCCTCGACACTCGACGCCACTCGGACTTGGGAGCTGAGCAGTCACGTGCCCACTTCTCAGGGGGAAAAGGCGGGAATGGGGACAGTGATGGCAGCCGGACGTGGATGCCTGCTGCAGCGGCTGCCACTGCAGGGTTTCCCGGAGAAACGGCCCCACCTTCCTGGAGGCAGGCACCCACTCATTGGATGGAGCTCTGGCCCTGGCCCCCCCTTTCCTCCATGCCTGCAGGAGGTGTTGTGTGTGTGGGTGCGGCCCTTGTGCCCGGTGCAGACCTTTGCCCTGGGAATGGCTTCCCCCAGGGAGGGGCGCCAGCCCTTCCTCCCCAGCCGAGCTGTTCCCAGCCCCGCAAGGCACAGCTGCCGGTGGAACGAGGTGGCCTGGGTCTGCGCAATAAAAAACCCGGCCAGACAAAAGTCCGAGCCATTCTGTTCTCCTGCTTGGCAGGGCTGCCCGCCCTCAGACGTGAGGGAAATACCAAGAGGTCCCACGGGGAGGAAACCGGGTTGGAGGGAAAGGAGAGGGACCTGCGCGTGCAGAGAGGGCGCAGCCTCCACCAGGTCACTGCCCCCACCACCTCCCTGGGCCCCCCATCCCTCTCCACCCACCTCTCCCCTGCCCCCTCCCACTGAACATTTGGAACTCCCTCCCGCTGGCCCTTTCCTGGGGTGGAACTGCGCCCCTGAAAACTGTGTTGACGTGCTAACCCTCAGTGCCCCAAAGGGCCACTTGGCTGGGAGGCAGAGTGGTTAGAGACGGGATTAGTTGAGATACGGTCGTGCTGGAGGAGGGCAGGCCCCAATTCTATGGCCAGTGTCTCTACAGCATGAGAGGAGACAGACAGATGGACATTCAGGGAGTGGAGGGGGGAGGCCAAGAGCAGACAGAGACTGAGGTTCACGGCCAGGGCCCAGTCGGCCCGAGACACCAGCAGCTGGAGGATGCAGAGGGCTTCTCCCCGTGAGATCGTGGGAGAGCGAGGCCCTGCCGACCCCAGCCCTGACATCTGGCACCCAGTCACTGTGGAGTCGGTCTCTGTGGCTCTCAGCCACCCAGGTGGGACTCCCTGCAGCAGCCGTGGGGATCAGACCGGCCACGTTTCGTGTGCTTTGAGCTATCGCTTGCTGGTGGGCGGGTGGCTGTTCTGAGCCTGTCCCTCGGGCTGACCTCGGCAGACTGTCTGCTTCACCGTCGCCTGCATGCAGGACGCATTCGGAAGGCAGAGTTCTGGGACCCGGGCCTGCGGACAGAACCGGGGTCTCAGAGCATCCAGAGGCCCTTGTTGCGGGAGCAGCCACCCCCCCTCGGGCTTCCTAGGCAGTGGTCACAGACAGCAGAGTCTGACGAGAGTGGCCTCAGGGCTGGACCCCGACCCCACACATCCTGAAATCGGGCTCACGCATGGTCTCTGGGGCGGCTTGAGCAGGGCGGACTTGCTCGGCGACCCAGCTCAGGACGGACAGAGTGGGTTCTAGCTGAAGAGGCGGAAGGAGGCTGGACTCCCAGCCACAGGGAGCGAGCGATGTGTCAGTGCCCGCAGTGCGGGACACCCCAGGATCTCCACGCACGTAACTCATCACGAAATGCCAGTCCGAGGCAGAGACGACAATCCTCGTGTTTTACGGGAGAAACAGATTCAGAGGAGACAACCACGCTGCCCCGGGCCACAGAGCGAGAAAGTCGATGGCGCTGGATGAACCGCTGCCTTGCAGCTGCCACCAGGCTGGGGGCTCCCACTGCCTCACCGGGCACCCTGGGCACCTCGTGATGGTGCGCTCGTCACCCACCCATGTCCTCACAGCCCGGACTGCCGGATCGCTTCCCCAGGTCCCTCTCAGCAGCCGTGGGGGGTGAACACACAGACATGAGGATCCTAGGTCAGCCTGGACTCTGGACCCACCCCTGTCAGATGGAGGCAGGGCAAGGGGAGGGCTGTCCCCTGCACCCCTTCTTTCCCTGAGGACCGTGACTCTGTTCTCTGCACGGAAGACCCGGGCCCAGCGCAGCAGCTGTGGTTTGGGTCATTCATCAGAGCACCAGCTTGCTCCCTCCTGAGCTAAGCTGCACAGTTCGTACGGTGCCAGGCCGGTCCTCGGTGCTGGGGGCAAAACCGGGCGCTGCACAGGCCCCTCCCCTCTGCTAAGGCATTCACATCTACCTCGACATGTGTCACATCATGTCACCCCATTGTGCTAAGCAGCCTGCTGCCTGTGAGAATCACCAGGGGGGCTGGCAGGGTCCCCGCAGCCAGGCTGTCCCCTCTCCCCAGGCCAGCAGGACCTCGGGGCTGGCCCGGAGCATTGGCACTCCTCAGTGGTCCCTGGGAGCGCAGCTGAACTTGGGAGGCAGGCGTCAGAGTCCTCTGCGGGGCTCGCTTCCACCCGGGTGACTGGGCCCCACCCCAGGGTGCCTGACTCTGGGGGTCAGGACCGAGGCCTGGGAATGTGCATTTCTAACAAGCCCCCAGGTAACGCTGAGGCTGCCCATGGTGGGGGGGACCACACTTTGAGGACCACTAGGTAGGGAAGAGTGAGCAGAATGAAGAGTCCTGTGGCTGGGTGACACGTAACCTATTTATATTATTACAGAAAGAAGGAAACTTCTAAGTGAGCTAAGCATGAGTTTGCAAATTAAATTTCTTGATTGTATTCTTGGCTTCACCCAACAAGGGTTTGGCCGAGATCCCGAGAGGGTGACTGTCCCCATGGCAGGGCCAGGTCCCAGTGACGAGCGACGGGAGGGAAGGGGAGGCAGCAGCCGTGGCAGGAACCGCTCCAGCGCACTTCCCTGAACAGTCCCGAGGCCACGCCTCCGCGGGGTCAGGCAGCCCGACCTCCACGCTGCGCTGTGGGGCCGAGTGTGGCGTTCTCACTGGGCAGCGGTGGGTGGGTGTGTGCCGTGGCCCTGCACCTGTGCAGCTGGGTTCCACGCCCGAGGGCTCCCAGGAGCCA